ATAAGAGACAGGGCCTGCCTTGCTACGAGGAGCTGCGGCCGGCTCTGCCCGCCTCACGCCGCCCCGCCGGGCCTGCGGTGTTGTACCCCGTGGGGATTCGCCTCTCCCTGCCCTGGGGGTGAAGGCAGCAGATCTGGGGTACCAGCTGAACGGCAGGTTGGATAGAGGTTGTAAACATCCTGGTGAGGGACGGCTGCGCTTCTCACGTGTGTCCAGGGCAGCGTAACCCACGTTTGTGGGAAGATCTTCACCCACAAACTGCCTTGGGAAAGGTGTGGAAGGAGCCTGAAGGGCTGAGGCTCAACCGCAGCATCGTTGGGCACATCTGCAGCGCTGCTGGGCTGCTTGTGGGAGCGTCCAGTGCTGGGGGTGAGGAGGAGATGCTTCCACAGCCACATCCAAAAGCCTTTCCTCAAGGTCTAACTCCAAACCCAAACGCTCTGTCTGTAGGGTGTTACCAACCTACAGGACCTTAATGCGAGTCAACTTAAAGCTGCTATCTATTTTTGTTCCTTTGCATTTTGAACATTGAGCTAAACATTGAGCTGCATTCACAAGCTTTTCCCCTGATAAAAGACAACTGTTAACATACTTATTTTCAAATAAGCACTAAGATTCTTCAGTGGCTTGATTATGGGAACCGGAAGAGTGCTGGATAATTCTCAAGTCAAATGTTACAAGAATTGATAATGCTGGGGGAAAAAATCATGTCCTTTAAAGCAAGTATTTAAGAAGCATCTGAGCTGGCCTTATTATATCTCCTTCCACAGAGTTGGCAATTAAATTATCAGTGAAAAATAAGAAGATGAGAAGATACGTTTCTTGTGAAAATCTTTTATGACCGCAAAGTCAACAAGTCAGCATTTACAAAAATAATCTGCAGCGTACACACCCTGGGAGGATATTGCGTTGACCTCTGTCCCATAAAAATCTAAGCTAAACATAAAAGGAAAGTCATCTTGATAATAGTTCATTTTTTACCAACTCTTATCAAAGAGACTTTTTTTTTTTCCTGCCTAATGCCAATAGAACACAGGAGAGAAGGAAAGGGAAAGCTGCTTTCCCTGCTTGGAGTTGACTTTCTTTGCCCTAGGAAAGCGTAGAAAGCTTCTCCATCCTCTAGTGGATTTAGTCACCAGGTGCCTCTGAGGGGTCAGAAAGGCCCCTACAGCTGTAAAAGGTGGGGGAGTCCCATACTTCCCTATGGGAAAGGGAAACAGTTGTCCCCTGCTGATTTTAATCACCCGGTTTCTTCTTTATCTTTGGCAAGTCTGCCCTGACCACACACACCAGCCAACTCGGGGACAAGCAGTGTTGCTCTCGGTGCTTCCTCGGGCAGGCCAGCATGTGTGTGGCAGTGCAGAGGCGGGTTAAAATCTGCTTTTTCAATTTCCCTGACATTGCTGAACACCTGTGGCCTTATCTGGATCCTTATGTAGCCTTTGCCTTTTCCCCCACAGTATCTAAGCACCCGCACACCCTCAGATTACAACAGGTACAGGTTGGAAGGGTTTGTTCACGCGCCCTAACCTTTCCTTGCACCTGCATCTCTGCAATCACAGCTTAACAGAGCCCCAAGGTCACCTGCTTAGAAGAAACTGTAAGTCAGGACTTGTTAAAACCTGGCTTGTGAAACCTTCTGACAGTGTTGGCAGTTGCATCTCAGTTTGCCAGACCTGGAACCAGGGATGAGAAGGCTTCATCAGAGCTTAGGGGTGGCCTGGGTAAGTCAGGCGTCCCACAGGTTTCTTTCAGATCTAGAACAGTAAAAAGTCCTCTGAAAGGAGTCAGGGAGACAATGTTCCTCCTAAATGTCATCCCAGCACTGCTTTTGTCAAGTTTTTCCTTAATCTCTTGGTGAATTTGCCATTTTTCTCCCCTCAGGTCCTGCCCAAACAGTGGCAGAGAGGGGTATGAGCAAAACCACTTCTGTCCTGGGGCTCTGCTTCCTTTGCTGCTCAGGAGCTTTACCAGAGATCTTCCTTAAGCAGCCCTGCTTTGGTGTCTTGTTTGCCATGGAAGGTGTCTCTCTTAATCATTATCTTTCAACTTCCAAGAACAGCTTTGAAATTCATACCAGATCAGCTGCTATGTACTTGGCATGAGCTCCCCGCATCCCCGCTAATCACGCTGTATACCAGCACTGCCCCAGATAGCAGCTAGTGCTGTTTCTCGTTAGGTCAAACTGGTGAGCTTTCTGGGAGCTGAGCCAAAAGAACAGCTACCATAGTTCATGGTAGCCCAGTGGAGCTTCATTTCCATGGAAAATGGAAAAAGTGGGATAGAAGGTGCTCTAGAAATAAAGCACTAAGATATGGATGCCTAAGGTTAAAACGATTAAGACTGCTTTTCAATTACCAGAACCAACCACACAAGCAAACACCACCCCATACGCATACTAAGAAGCCAGTTAATTCCAATCTGATTAAAAACCAAGCAGCCAAGAGCAAGGATGTTGGAAATACGCAACGAAGCTCACACATCCAAACCTGTCCCACCACTTTATTCTAAGGTACACCAGCTGGTTAGAAGAAAAACATGATTCAGGGTCTTATGCTCCTGGAATTTATGCCTGTCATTATCCTCAGTTGTTTCATTATTACCAAAGGCTTAAAAACCCTCAAGAGATTAGCAGGAATATACGGAAAGTTGAAGCAGTTCTGCTCACTGTATGTATGCATGTTGTAACCACTAATTGGCCAGGAAATCATGAAACAGGCTCAGCAGCAGAGCTTGGGGCTGGTGGGAAGCAGAGACGTATGCCGATCGACAATGTTCTGGTTGCTTTCACTGAGCTCACCAAAGCTGTTCTGGATCTTCTCTCCAGTGCAGAAAAAATACCTTTTGGGAAATCAAAAGAAGGCAAAGAGCCTATCAGCACAATTCTTTCCTTTGCAAAATGAGTCATTTAAAACTTACCCTTAAAATAAAGCTTCAGAAGAAAACTGGATTTTGTGTAGAACAGTGCTGGGGTGGGGGAAGAGGGAAGGGACATTCAAAGGTTCAGATTTAAACACAACAACTCAGATGCTTAATTCCCAGCTGATCCCCCAAAAACCCCCTAAGTTTAAAGGCGTTTCCTCTGAGCCTGCTCTTAACTAGATCTGCCACTGAGGGATGCTGTGCTCTGCGTTTCCATGAGCTGACTTCTTGCGAGCTTGCCCAGAGCCAGGCCAGAGCTATATGGCTGTTGAGTACCCGTGTTGTAACACCCCGGGTTTGGAGAGAAAGGTCTCTGACGTTGCCTTGCCTTGCTCTCAGGCAGCAATCGCAGGCCCTGGCATTGCACAGGAAGGCACTCGGAGGTCCCAGGTGCACACAGAAAGGCAGCCAAGGCTTGTGGGCTGCACAGAATGGCACTCGGAGGCTCCTTGGATGCACAGAGGGGCACCCGCAGGTCCCTGGGGCACTCACTTAACCAGTTTCTGCAGCCCCTGGTGAGAGCAGGATCTGGCCGGCTGCTCCCTTCACGGCTATGCATCCTCCTCTGGCTGGGCTGGGATGTCCAGGGCTGTGCTGGGTGGGACAGAGGGCTCCAAGGAAGGGGTTGGATTTTCCTTCTTGCAAAACAAGGTCTGGAAGTGAATCATCAGAGTCTGACAGGCACACGTGAGGCATTTATTGTTCCGTGTGGTGGGAGCACCCCCTTCCTTCAAATGACCCTGACTTCCCTTGGGAAATGGGGATGAAAGCGCTCTGCTCCTGGGAATCTCAGGGCCCTGGTGCCTGGGGGCAAGACCTTGCTGTGCCCAGGGTTGGGAAGAAGTCCTCTGAGGGAGCAGGTGAGGGTTGGCACAGTGCTGGGAGGCTGTTCCTTTTGCCAGATTGGATTTGTGATGCCCTCCTGAGATGTAGGACAAGAGCACTGTGCACCTTCAGAGCAGTGAAATATCCTTCCTGGAGCTGTGGCCACACTTGGGGAAAACAACTAAAAAAGCCTGTTTAAAAGCCCTGCAGGAAGAAATGTCACCCGGAGCCTCCCAGGGCCAGTAGTGAGGATGAGACCTGGGGCAGAGGAGAGAGGCAGCTGCCTGCCCTCTCCAGGGAGCATGGAGAAAAGTTCGTCAAGGTTATTCAGGTGCTTTGAAAGCAAACGTGTTTGATTAGCACTTTTGACACAACAGAGAAAGTGCACAGGGAAGCAGGGTTCTTTTCTCCACTTGCATTGCAGCCTCTTGTGGGGAAGGAGTCACTGACAGTGTTTGGAGAAAGCCTCTCTGCATTCTGGAGGCTCTGCGCCCTTGCTGGGGGCTTCCCAGCCACTCTCCCTCAAGATAGCAAATTGTGCGTATGGAGGAGGAGGAGCTACATGTCCCCAGAGGGGTTACTGGGGATGAAGCCTCTGGAAAGGTCAGTCCAGAGCTGTTTCTTCTGTCTGAGCTCAAAACCCTCTGTTGAGCAGCTGCTGGGGGAGACTAGGATTCCCAGCTGCAGCAGTGGAGAGCATGGGTACTTGCAGAAGTGTATCAGGCAACACACTTTCACCTGACAGTTAGAAATCTCTTTGCAGATTGGGTGTGTTTGTCTAGATGTATGAATATGTGTAGATATTTAAAGATATATCTCCATTGCCCCTGTGAGCTGGGCCAAGCATCACCCAGATGGGACATATAGCTCATCAGACGTGGCGCTGGGAGCGCTGTGCTTGTGGTGGGTCAGATCTGCGGTCAGCAGTGTGACTGCAGCAGGGGCTTGGCCACGAGGTGCCTAGGCCAGCACCTGGAGCATGTGCTGTGGCCAGGGTTTGTTACCTCGTGGTGCAAGGTTGCCAATGTCTGTTCAGCCTTGCTTGAGGGATGCCAGGTCTCTTTGATGTGGCTTTTCTGTGCCATCTCCTTTTCTCAGGCTGCCCCCTGTAGCACTGGCTGTGGCTTTAGAATTAAGGAAGAAGCAGATGTTTGCTTTGTGATCAGATGTTTTATTCATGCTCTTGAGGGTATCGCTAGACTTGGGACTGCACTTCCCTGCAAGCTGCCCAATATTGGTAAATGAAATGCTGGCTCAGTCTCTTCAACCAGACCAGGGGAGACTGGCTGGGCATGGTGGGGGAACAGTTCCTGGGGAGAGGGACTGAAGCTGTTGTACTGCCTGTCTGGTGGGGCCAGGGCCAGGCTGGGTGAGCTCTGTAGCCCAGTTGCCCCAGGCTGCAGAGGAGCCTTGTGAGGAGGCATCAGGGTCACTGTGTGCCAGGAGCTGCAGCTCCATGTCAGGCGGGAGCAGAGCTGTTTCACCTCTTCCTGTCCCCCGGGGTGGCCAGGGAGCAGGGCTGGTACTCACTGGAGAAGTCTGGCTTTGGGTCCTCTGCTACTGCCAGCGAAGTTTGAGAGGACTTGGTTGTTGCTTCTGGGGTGAGCCAGGGGCAGGATGGCTTCACAGCCACCCGTGTCCTGCTGCTGACACTCTTCCCTGTGTGACCAGCCTTGGGAATATCCAGGGAGCAGAGTGGAGATACCACCACTAGCCCATTGGTTCCTCCAGTGGCACCCAGTAAGCCACAGTGTGTCAAAGCTAAACACCGATGTGGCTTTGGGGGCCTAAGCACCCCATTCCCAGAGGCGCAAGGAGGGCCTTCAGGGGATCCCATGCTGCCTGTCTGGGAACACAGCGATCCTGGGAGTGTCTGCAAGGACCCCATCAATGACACATTTGGTGGGGGGCTGTTTTCAGGGCCAATGGGCTCAGGGTGCTGCTCTGCAGAGGCAGTGGCTGGAGCGCTCTCTCCTCACGGGAAAGGCCACCCAGCTTGAACTTCATCTGTGCACTTGAACTTGATCTGTACAGGAGCACAGATAAACCTGAGCTCCAGCATGGGTCAACCTCAGGGACATCTCATGGTCCATTTGCTCCCAGAAATGGTTTGGGAAGCTGTACCCCTTTACTAAAGGTGCTGGTGTAAGCAGGTGCCCGTGCTTGCCCTGCAGTCCCCACGAGGTGGAGAAGTTTTGCCATCAACACCCTGTGCTTTACAGGGACGTTGGGAGAGCTTTCAGCAGGGCTGGCTGTCAGGTCCATCTGGGGACAGTGCAGCTGCCAGTTAGCTTTCTCCCCCCAGTCAGTGTGAGGAGGGAAGCTCCAGGCTTGGCTGGCATTGAGCCCTGGGGCTGCTGGAGCTGTGGGCACAGGGACACTGTTTCGAATTCCAGTTAGAGTGTTGGGGTTTTTTCCCCTGAGACCCTGTCTGAAGGAGCAGGGACTGGGTTTCAGCTTTGTCTCCCTCCAGGGGCTGCTGCAGAAGTGGGGGGCCAGGTCTGCTGGCTTACTCAGCTTCCGACAGCCATCACCGGGAGCTGTGCCCAGGAGGAGCTGAGCAGCAGCCGGGCACGGCAGCATGCACCGGGCTGCTTTTCTGCTTGGAAATAAAAACTGGAGCAAGCCACAACTGAGACAAGGCAATATTTGATTTATTCACTGCACTGTTTATTTCACTGCTGCTAACAGCTCTCAGAAAGAGGCATCCTCCCCTTGGCTCCCTAAGTCCTTGTCTTCTCCTGCAGCGAGCTCTTGCTGGCTACCAGGCTGTCAGGTTATCCAGCTTGCCACTCCGATGGGCCACAGCAAGTCCCCCAAACATGTGAGGATGATGTGGTTGCTGCAGGAAAAATCCTGTAATGACCCACCAGGCCAGAACGATGGGGTGTCGGCTGCCAGGCATGGCTGGTGCTCCTCCTCACAATTTGGTTGAGGCTCAGGATGGGTGGAGGTCTGCCAGGTTGTGGGGCAGGTGGCTGCTATGGGGCAAGTTGGTGGCGACTGGCATTCCCCACCTGTTGTGGGAGTTGTCTTTGGGGGGATGCTCCCCTGGGGCAAAGCTGGTGCTGCAGAGGTCTGGGTGAAATGCTGCTATGGGGCCACCATCAACAGATCCACTGGCAGAGCTGATGTGGGTTTTGCAGCCAAAGCTCTCCCACCCCAACCTCCGTCCCATCCTGACTGCAGAAGGGCTGGGCCAAACCAAGTCTTGCGTGGCATGGCTACCGGTTGGATTGTCCTCCTGGGTAGGGCTGGAGCTGCTGGCAGCGAGGGGATGGCTTCTCGCTGGAGCAGAGCTGTGGGATGGAGAAGATGCGTGTTTTCAGGCTCCCTGTGCCCACTGCCATCGTAGCGATGGTGCTGAGC